CTCCCCTCAGCCTCCCAAAGCACGGGATTACAGGCTGAGCCACCGAGCCTGGCTAAATTTTCATTTTTTAGAGAGTTGGCGTCTCACTTTGTTGGCCAGGTTGGTCTTGAACTCCTGGCCTCAAGTAATCTTCTCTTCTTGGCCTCCCAAAACACTGGGCTTGCAGGTGTGAGCCACCATACCCAGCCTCTTGCTCACCCTTTAACTGTGCTAGTTCTGTTGCCCCAACCCCACTGTAAAGCAGTCTCTATGTCTCACCCCTTTAAGTGGCCAGAAGCGCTTAAGCTGTCTTGCATGTACAAGATGCTCTACCACGTTGTTAACTGGTTATGACCCCACCAGATTGGAGCTATCACCTTCTTTCAGGGAACTTTCATCACTTCTCACTCCATGGCGAGTGCCACCTGTCCTGCCACCAGGCCCTCCTCTGTTCCTGCGACTCCTTTCACCTGTCCTCATCTCCATGGGGCTAGCCCTTCGACTCAGTTCCCACCATGAAGCCTTGCATGCCTTCTCCAGCGTCACTGCCCCTTCCTTCCCACTGCCCCGACAACTCAGAAGTGGACCCCACGGCTCAGAACTTAGTTGCGTCACTACTCATGCCAGCTGGGACACAGTAGGCGCACACCTGAGGGGGAGCGCTTCTCTCCTTGGGGTGATGAGGGCCCCCCATGTTGACCCCCATTACCACCGAGATGTGCTGGGCATGGGGGCTGAGGGCAGCCCCCCCGATGCGCTCTAGGGCACCCACGATGCGGCTGCAGGCCTTGTCCTCACGCTGGGCCAGCCACAGCAGGTGCTCGTCTACCATCATCAGGTTGCTGGCCATGTCCACCATCACCTCCACCAGCTGGGAGGGAGGGCAGAGGAATCACTGAGGGCAGGGGCAGAACTTGGGACACAGGGCCTGGGATGGGAGAGAGGCTTGGGCAAATGTGGGGTGGGAGATGGTTTCCAGAAGCCCCAGAGGTCTGGCTGAATCTCACCTCTTTGATCTGGTCAATATAACCCAAAAATTTCTGGATCATCTGAGCCACGTAGACTACATCCATCATGTCCGAAAAGCTGGCAGCCTCGGCTGTGTATACTCGCAGCTGGTGAGCCAGGGTCAGTGCATTGGAGGCATTGATGGGCATCTGGGGCATTGGGGGAAGAAAGAGAATCATCCTACCTTGCTCCTTCTGTCTCAGAATAGCTCCTGGGGGCCCCTTGCTCTGTGCAGTTGCTCAGTGCAGCAGGACCTGGGGACAGGGTCTAGTGGAGCTAGGAGGGCAGAGGCTAGGATCACCACAGCCCAAGGCTGCCACTTCCAGCACCCATGGCCTAGGACAACAGGACCCCACCTTTGATGTGCTGGAGGGTACAGAGGCGTGGGGTGGCCAGGTCGGGGTGGAGGCCTGGTCTACATTCCCAGCATGGCCTGGGTAGGTCTGAATCCTCCCAGGGCAGAGAGAAGCTAGAGTAAAGCATGGAGGGACAAGGAGCTGGCTCCCTACTCTGCATACCCAGGGAGCGGAGGCACAACCAGTAGCCTTGAGACAGGCCCCCTTGACCGTGGCCCAGCAGGCTTCTGCCCCTCCCCATGCCCCAGAACCAGAGCTGGCAGAACCCCTGCCTTCTCCTCGCCTCACCAGCACGAAGGTGTAGAGCACCCGAGTGATGTCATTGGTGTACAAGCAGTGAGAATAGTCCCCTGGCTCCCAGCGGCCGGCTCGGTCACACCTGCGGGAGGCTCGGGTGCCTGGGCCACCCCCGCTCAGGGGCACCGAGGTGAAAGGGTACTGCAGGCAGGACTGGTAGGCTGTGATGCCAGCCAGAGTTCGAGGCCACCTGGGGGCAGAGGCGGCAAGTTGCCAACAACCCAGGCTCGTGGGGCAAGGCCCCTCCCCTCCCCTTAGAACTGTGATGCCAGACTCCTGGGGCCTTGGGGTCCAGGAGAGGAGTTCCCAGTTCTGTTTCTAACTCTGCATCTGTTCTGACCATGCTAGCATGGTGATGGCGGGGGAGGGGACTCAGAGTTCTGAATTCAGGTACTGCCACTTATTCACTATGGCCTTAGGCGAGGCACTTATCCTCTCTGGGCCTCAGTATTCTCGGCTGTACATTGGGGAGAATGATAGCTGCCCCATGTAATGGAGAGGATCACTGGGATATTAAAATGTCATACTCTTTGTGGGCGAGCTTTTGCAGACTATTAATGTAAGGAAAAAAATGAAAGCCTTTCTGTGCTGTGCTGCACATCTCAGAGGGTGATTTTATACATGAATATATGGTCTCTCCAAACGTCACAGCAGGACTTCAGGCTGAATTGACAAAAGGAAGTTTCTACATCTTTAGGACTCAATCAAGAGCAAAGGGGGAGACCCTGGCCACCTGTGCTCTCAGGGGCAGGGGCAAGATGGGGGGCAGCTGTGGGGGTGGCTGGACCTCTGGGGGTGGCCCGAACCTGAAGTCACCACGGTTGTTGGCGACACGCTCGGCAGGACAGTAGGAGGCGGAGGTCTCCAGCACCACAATCTCCACCTTCTTGCTGGCGTTGCCCTGGACCGTGGACACAGAGCACTCCCACTCGCCGGAGGCCCACACGCCGATGTGAGACAGGGTCAGCTCACTGCAGGTGGCAGGTGGAGCTGGCTCGAGATGCCCTCCCGGCCCAGCCACACCACCCTCCCCAGTGCTGTCCTGGGCACTTGCTGCAGGTCTTTTTCTTCAGTGGAGCCAGGGATGCAAGTACACACTCTTTTCTTCTGATTGGACTTAAGATAGTGTTTTTTATTTTGGTTGTTTTTCCCCTCTCACTCTGTTGCACAGGCTGGAGGGCAGTGGCATGATCATGGTTTGCTGCAGCCTCAACCTCCTGGGCTCAGGCAATCTTCCTACCCCAGCCTCCCGAATAGCTGGATACGTGCATGTGCCACCATGCTCAGCTAATTTTTAAATTTTTTTGTAGAGATGAGGTCTCACTATGTTGCCTAGGCTGGTCTTAAACTCTTGGGCTCAAGTCATCTTCCTGCCTCAGCCTCCAACAATGCTGGGATTACAGGCATGAGGCAGTGTGCCTGGCCATATAGTGTTTTTGTTTGTTTATTTGTTTGTTTTTTTGAGCTTCAATTTCCCCATCTTTAATATGGATTGATAATACCTCTCTTGCAGGTCTACCGTAGAGATTAAATCTGATAACAGAGGTGAGAGACATCATATACATTGTTTTTTGTTGATGTTGTTTGCTTTTTAGGGGCAGGGTCTTGCTCTGCCACGCAGGCTGGAGTACAGTGGTTTAATCACAGTTCACTGCATCCTCCAACTCCTAGGCTCAAGTGATCCTCTTGCCTCAGCCTCCCAAGTAGCTAGTACTACAGGTATGCCACTGCACTTGGCTAATTTTTAATTTTTTGTAGAGCTAGGTCTTACTATACTGTATAGGCTGGTCTTGAACCCCTGGCCCCAACAATCCTCCTGCCTCAGCCTCCCAAAGAGCTGTGATAGATATTGTAAAAGCACTAGAGATGTCAAGCACCACTTTCTTCCTGGGAGGCATTTACTTTCTATCCTCTAGTCAGACTATTTATAACATAATTCAAGAATTCCACACGCACTCTCCCAGGAACACGTCTGGACACAGCTCTTCCGGGTGGGTGGAGGGTACTGTCCTTCCTGCCTCACTGTGCTGAGGAGGGCCAGTGGGCCTATACCTGGTGATGAAAGTGCAGTCATGGACGAGGCTCTCGGCTAGGAGGATGCCCGCCTGCTCGTTGCCCTCCACGGGCGCCCGGTTGTGGTACCAGTGGATGCGGGTGTCGTTGCTCAGGTAGCTGGCAGAGCACTGGAAGGGCAACCGGTCCCCCTGAAACACGACTTGGCGCAGGGATGGGATGAGGTGGTGTGTGTGCAGCTCCAGGGCCCCCTCTGTGGGAGGAAACGCCAGCAACGAGGTCCCCATGTGCACGCATGTGAGCCCGCACGGTGGGTGCAAGTCCTGCCAGGCAGGCCCCTGCCTGTGACCTGTCCTGGCTGAGGAGGAAAAGGGGTCAAGAGAAAGTCTCCAGAGACAGGAGAGAGAAGAGGGGCAGGCGGGTTCCAGACGAAGACGGGGGCTCCCTTCTTAGCATGTGTGTTCTCCAAGAGGTGGGGCCAGATGAAAACAGAACACACCGCTCCAAGGGAGTTTACGAAAGCTGATGAGGGCCCAGAGCACCAAGGGGCAGGGGACGCCCTGGAGAGTGTGCCCAGCACACAACCACATACTAACAGAGTATAATAATAGTGACACCTGCCCTACCCAACAGAGACAGCCAGCAGGTTATTGAATGTGATGCTCTTTGTGGGCGAGCTTTTGCAAACTACAAATGGAAGGAAGGCCAAAAGCCTGCCTGTGCTGTGTGGCACCTCTTGGAGGTGACTTTATACGTGAGGATAAGGGTGCTCCGAATGCAACCGCAGGGCTAGGCTTGACGGTCTTTCAGAAATTGCTACACCAAGGTCACGTCTGTGGGTCTGAGGCAGGAGACTGTGAGTCTGGGCCCTGGCCCTGGGCAGGCATACAGGTTAAGAAATCGCTCACCACAGCAGAGCTGGGCCTCCCGGAGGCCACCCAGGGCCTGGGCGTGCAGGACACTGGGGTAGGCGCAGAGCGTTCGCTCTGACAGCTGCAGAGATCGGTTCCGGGCCCAGGGCAACAGCCAGCGCAGGTGGCAGTCGCAGGTCAGGAACTCGGTACCAAAGTCCCTGTGGAGTAGGTGGAGGGGTCACAGAGCAGAACAGAGGGAGTGTGGGCTCACAGGTGGGGATGGGGCAGACGAGGGTCTGTGTGTGCACCCACCACCTGGGCAGTCTCGGGAAGGGGAACCTGGGGCTTCAGGAACTGTCTGCTCTGCCTACTCATGAGGCCAGCATGGTGACGGTGCTCATGTTTCTCCTATCTGGACAGAGGAAGGGAGCAGGGGTGGGGTCCCTGGGTAAGGAAGAGATACTCACACCACCTTAAGGGATGGTAGCTCATCAAAGACCCCGGGCTGCAGACTGGAGAAGATGTTTCCAGATATGTTTCTGCAGGGGCCAGTGAGATGGGATCTCAGAGTCTCCCTGGCCCAAGGAGGGGAGCGGTGGGATGGGAGCATGCAGGGGCCTGTCTTCTTCTCCTCGCCCTCCTTCCCTCTGCTTTCCTCCCCACTTCCCATCCGTCACTCACAGTCGGAGAAGCCTAGGGAGGCCTTGGAAGGTCTCAGAGCTGAGACAGCCAATCCGGTTGTTGGAGAGGTCTCTAGAAAGACACACCAACCTCAGCAAGTCGGCCTCATGGTAGCACATGGATCCCCTTGTGAAGGGCACACGTGTTTGACTGGGGCTTGGGTAGGCAGTGGGTAAAATGGGATGGGGCTAGGGCTAGGCCGTAGCTGGGCTTGAAATGCCCGCTCCTCTGACTCCAGCCAAGGCGCCGATGGGGAGCGGGTGCAGCTGGGGGTGGTGGTGAGAGAAACGGGTTGGGGTGGAGCAGGAGGGGCGGCTGCTCTTGGGACCCACAGGACTTTCTCCAGAGGCAATGGGAGGGTGGAGGTTGGGGCAGGACTTGCCACTCACAAGCGTCTCAGTTCCCCGAGGCCCAAGAAGGTGCCAGGCTGCACGGTGCTGATGACATTGTTCCTCAGGTCCCTGTGGGAGGCAAGTGGAGAGGCCCTCACATCTCTCCCACTCTGGGGCCACCTGCTCCCTTGGGCAGGGTGTCCACATGGGTTCACCACGGCTGCTGAGTTGCTTTGGGACTTGATTTCCCAATAAATCTCTGCTCTCCTCAGCACTGGTGGCAAGTTGTATTAAGGACTCCCTTAGATAAGTCTCCCCTCTATGGCTACATCAAGTGGTACTGGTTGGAAAAACAGTAGAAGATGTGTATGCCAAAAGATGGGATCGTAAGGAGGAACTCAGTGGAAATGAGGCTTGGAGAGAGCACTGGACTGGGAGCTAGGAGGCCTCACTTCTGATCTGCTACACCTCTGAACTGCCCTTGGGTCCCATGAGGATGCTCTGGGAAGCATATGAAAACAGGCCTTAGGGTTTTTCATAAAATGCTATACAAAGGTAAAACCTGCCAGGTGCAGTGGCTCATGCCTATAATCCCACGCTTTGGGAGACCAAGGCGGGACGATAACTTGAATCCAGGAGTTTGTGATCCCAGTATACAAAAATTTAAAAATTGGTTGGGCATGGTAGCATGCACCTGTGGTCTCAGCTACTCAGGAGGCTAAGGTGGAAGGATCACTTGAGCCCAGGAGATAGAGGCTGCAGTGAGCTATTATGCCACTGTACTCCAGCCTGGGTGACAGAGCGAGACCCTGTCTCTAAAAATAATAGTAAAGGCTGGACTCGGTGGTTCAGCCTGTAATCCCAGCACTTAAGGAGGCCGAGGCAAGTGGATTGCCTGAGCCTGTGGGTTCGAGACCAGCCCAGGCAACTTGGCAAGACCTCATCTCTACAATAAATAAAAAATTAGCTGGGCGTGGTAGTGCGTGCCTGTAGTTCTGGCTACTTGGAAGGCTGAGGCAGAAGGATCGCTGGAGCCCAGCAGATTGATGCTGGGGTGGCCCTGAGTATGCCACTGCACTCCAGCCTGGGTGACAGAGTGTGAGACTCCAACGCCCTCCTCACAAAAAAGTAGTAAAAATAAGATACAATCTTCTGGAGCCTGGCTGTGGGGAGGTGTTCCTAGAGTTAGTTCATCCCTGCATCTCTCTCCATTTGACAGGTGCAGAAATAGGCCAGACAGCTGGTTGAGGACCACATGGACTCTGCTTAAGTCCGCTTGGGGCAAGTTTGTAAATAATGGGTCCAGCCTCCTCATTCTCCAGATGAGGAAGCCCAAAGGCTCCTGCAAGTACGTCAGCTCCACCGTCTCCATGCGTCTCCTAGGAGCCCATGGTGCTGAAACAGGACAGAAGAGCACTGTGCCCCCAAGGACTCCCAGGGTCCCAGCTCCGTTCTGCCTGGAGGAGTGAGGCAGGTGAGCCCTCACAGCAGCTTGCCGTCCTCAGTCTGGTGGCTCAAACTCAACCTTGGTCAGAGTGCAGCTCTATGCCCTCTTCCTTACCTGCCCCAGGGCTGAAGGGGCAGTGCTGAAGGGATAATTCCTGCCCCCTAGGGATCACAGGATACCTGCCTGGCTGACCCCAGCCCAGCCTGACATCTGACAGGGCAGCCCTCTGGGCTCTCAGGGAAGGAAGGGCCACTGAGGACCAATGTGGGTGTGGCCCACTGGCCTTCTTCCTCACTCCTATTTTCTGTGCTGGGCACAGTCAGAGAGAGGTGCCTGGAAGGCCAGGGACCACTTGCCCACTTACTACAGGGCCATATGGGGCTTTCTTGAGCTAAGCCAGAACAAACGTAGGCCACACAGAGCGCTTCCCAGGGTTTAGTACTCAGTGGGCCTCCCCATTCTGGGTTCCTGGCATGGAGACTGCAGCCTCTCCACTTGTTCTTGTGTTCCAGCATCCTCTCCACCCCCACCCAAGTGCTCAGGAGATTATGGGGCAGAAGGCAAGAGTGGGGGACTTCTAGAATAGCCAACATGTCCAAAGGGGCTGTGGCAGGAAGAAGACTGACAGAGATATCTGTGTCAACCTGCTTTCTAAGGTCCTGCTGCCCAGACGAAGGCAGGGGGTTTTTGGCTCTACCTGCCAAAGTCTCTGGGACACTTCTGGATTATGGGCAAGAGGGGGTTAATGAGCCAGTTCCCTGCTGGGAGGAGAGGAAATGGGTGTTCAGGACAGGGAGGTGTGTCCCACCAGGGGGCCTGTTTGTGCACTGTCCCAGCTGGGGACAGAAATACCCAGCTCCGCCCTTCCCATGAGTTCTCACACTCAGCTGCCTCTCACAGGAAGGACTCCAGCCTCCGTGACTCTGAGTCCCCTGGAGAAAGCAGGGAAGGCCACCAGGAGGGCCCAGTGCCCTAGAGGAGGAGTGTCTCCCAAACCAGGTGAGCTGCGAGGTGCCCCCATGCTGGGCTCATGCAGGGACTGTGCAAGTATGTGGTCCCTGGCTCCTCGCCACACACAGTGGGGAGCAGACTCAGGATGTGCACCCCTCCTGCCCAGGGTCGCCCTTCCTGCCAGGGCCTCCCTCGTCTGTGCCCCAGACCCCGTCTTCACAGCTCACCCCTCCGGTGTTGTTCCAGCACGTGCCCCTGGCCCCTGTTGGGGTCTGGCCATTCTCAGGGCTCTGCCTTCCACCCCCACGCGGGGGACTGGCAGAGGGAAACACATTCCTCATTGTGTCACTTCCCTTCATAGGCTGCCAAGGGGCTTGGGCCTCAGCCCCCCTTCCCTCTCCGCTCGCTTGTGTTTATTCTCATTTCCTCCCCAGCCCCCTCCAAAGCCCCCTCCCGCCTGCCCCACTGATGCTCTGCAGATGGGAGCGAGGTGGCGTGCAGGCCCCAGCCCCTCTTCCTGCTCTCGATTTCCTGAGGCTGAGCCATTCAGGGACCTCTTGGAGAGAGGAACCCTGTGGGTGTGGGCATTTTTTCTCCTTTGCCTTGAGTCTGCCCTGAGAATGATCAAGGTGGCCTCAAGGAGTGCTCTTGAGAGTTGACTGGTCCTAAGTCCTCTCCTGAGGGGACATGGGCCAGGCACCGCTCACAGGGCTGAGCTCTGTCAGCCAGATGAGCCCACGGGCAACCAATGCCAGCTGGTTTATTGTGGGAAGGGGCTGTGTCCTCCCCAGGGGAATGGGAAAATGCCACCCCAGAACCTGGACATTTTGGGGGCCTGAACAGCTCCTGCAGATCGGGTCTTTGGAACCTGTCTTGCTAGCATACCTGTCTTAAAATCTGATGAAGGCCATGGACTCCTGCCTCAGAAGCATGTACCACATCCAACACTGTACATGCAGCTTCAGGGGGTTGTAGAACCAGGTTAACAACCCCTTTCTCCGAATCTTCTGACCTGATCCCTTCATTTCCCAGGTGAAGTCATGAAGCTAAGGTAGCTTGCCCAAGGACACACAGCTGTTCTGGTCATGTGGAATCTCCCACTCCCCATCTGCTTCTACAGAGACCTGTCCTTGGAACCCAGGAATGAAGCTGTGTGTTGATGGGGCTCTCCCCTCCTCCCATCCTCACTGCCCAACCTGGACCAAGCTCCTGGACTCTACGCCACCCCTCTCCCTGTCCCTATGTCCACATGGAGAAGGACCCCCTCAAGGTGGAGGTGGAGGGAGGATTCCTGGGAGCAAATCATGTCCTGTGCTCTTCTTGGGGAAACCGAATCTCAGGAAGCTACGTGTGCAAGAGTCCTGCACAGAAGCAAGAAAAGAAAAGATCAAGAAGGGAGTGACTGATGAATAAAAGTTAAAAGAAAAAAAAAAGAAAGAAAAGAAAAGAAAAAAGTGATGGGATGGAAACAACAGAGAAGGTTGATAAGTTGGACTTCATAAAAATTTAAAACTTTGGCACTTTAAAGAATACCATCAAAAAAGGGAAAGAAGACCACAGAATGAGAGATGTTTGCAAATCTGATATCTGAATAAAGGATATCTATCTAGAATATATACAAAGAACTCTTACAACTCAATAATAAAGAGGTAAATAACCCAAATGGACAAAAGATATGAATAGACACCTCATCAAAGAAGACACAAATGGCCAATAAGTGTATGCAAAGATGCTCCCTATCACTGGCAGTAAGGGAAATGCCAACCCAAACCCCTTCACACCTGCTAGGATGGCTACAATGAAAAAGACAATACCAAGCATTGCTGATGATGTGACGTTGGAACCCTTCCACATTATTGGTGGGAATGTGAAACAGTGCAGCCTCTTTGGGAAACAGTCTGGCAGTCAGAGTTACCACATGACCCAGCAATTCCGCTCCTGCATGTGTATCCAAGGGAAGCAACTACACATCTACACAGGAACTCACTGGTGAATGCTCACAGCAGCATCATGCATAACGGTAGCCAAAAAGTAGAAGCCACCCAAACATCCACCAACTGATAGATTCAACAGAATGTAGTAATTCATACAAGGATTATTATTTGGCCATAATAAGGAATGAAGGGCTGATATGTGCTAAACATGGGTGAACCTTGAAAACATCCTGCTGAGTGACAGAATCCAGTTATGAAAGATTACATATTGTATGATTTCATCTATACAGAATGTCCAGAACAGGCAAATCTATAGACAGAAAGCCGATTAGTGGTTGCTCAGGGCTGGGGAACAGGGAGTGGAGGAATGGGGAGTGACTTTAGTGATTCAAGGTTCCTTTTGTGGGTGATGAAAATGTTCTAAAGTTAGATTATGGTTATGATTACACAATTCTGTAAGATATACTAAAAGCCATTGCAGTGTACACTTTAAATGGGTGAACTTCTATGGTATGTAAATTATATCTCACTAGAGATGGTAAAAGAGTGTGTGTTTTTATTACAGTGCGTGTGAACATGTGTGTGTGTGTGTGTGTGTGTGTATGTGTGTGTATGTACTTGTGTGTGAGTGTGAGTGTGTCCCCACATTCAGGCTGGGTGGGGCGGCAGAGAGTTGGTTCCCTCTGGCCCCCACAGACCTCCCTCCTGGCTTGTGGGTTTGAAAACCAAATTATAGGTTCAGAGGCCGCAAAGCAGCTTTCCCTGGGCCCTCCAAGACTTCCAGGGTTTGTTGGAAAGTGGGGGCTGGCTGGGAAGTGGGTCAGAACACCCTGCAGGTACAGAAACTGTCTAGGGGAGGAGAGGGAGAAGGTCTAGTGGCCTGAGGAAACCCACTGTGGCCCCAGCCTCCCTGCCACTCCCATCCCCCAGCCCCTCTTGTTTCTGATATCAACTGAGAGGTATTTACTGAATGCGGCCACTGTGCCAGGCACTGGGGTTACCACAGCTAATAAGAGGGCTGTCCCCAAATCCTTCAGTCATCTTTCAGGGCCTCAGCTGTGCCAGAGTCCACAGCAATTCTCTGTGGCCTTCTTCCCCAGTGTTGTCAGGATGGGAAGAGGAGGGACAGAGCCCAGCCTCACCCCTGGCCCTGCCCACAGATTAATGGAAACCACCTGGCGTGTGAGCAGCACTCCACCCCCAGCCCCCCACTTGCCATCATTCCCATGAGCATCTGCTTCTAATGAGTGCCCCAGCACCCCTGCATACCAGCCCCCGGGCTCATTAATCTCATTAGGCAATGACAAATCATCCTGGGGCTGACCAGGCTCCCCTCCCCAGGCCCTTGCCTCCAGCCGCGCACAGGCCTCTGGGGGCCGTGTCCACACAGACCCACATACTCACATGCATGCAGAGTCTTGCTCCCTGGGCCGCTCCTGGGGGCTGTCTGACCTGTAGCTAGCTTGGTTACTGGCCTAGGTGACTATTACACCCTCAGAGGCCCCCAAAGTCTTCTAGGGGCCTGCTCCTCGGTGTATACACTGGGTGAGGCATCTGGACAGAGAAGCAGGGACCCGGGGAATGAGTCACCTGCGGTACTTTGCTCACTTACATTTAAGTTGCACAATGGCCTGCCCAAGTCTAGGGAGCTCCGGGCAAATCTCAGATGGCCAGGGGTACATCTTACAGCGGGGGACTCTCCCGAGGGGACAGGAGCACCATTTACTGAAAGCCCTCGCTGTCCCTGCGCTCTGTGTAATGAACTCATCTATCCCCTTAACAACTTGTCATTGCCCCATTTTCCAGGTGAGTAACCTGAGGCAGGGAAGGTCAAGGAAAGAGGGAGGATTCAATCCCAGGCCTCATTTTATACCAGAGGGGATCCCAGCTCTGTCAACAGTTCCTCCCTGCCCCAGAAGCCTTTCCTCTGGGCAAGACACAGGCCTGGCCATGCTGAGGGATGGCAGGATTTGGTGAGGAAGGCTCAGGGATAGGGTGTCACCCATACCTGGGCCCTCAGTACCTTCCCTGGGCTGGCCAGGAGCTTCCTCTGTGGGGCCCTGCTTCAGGCTTGCTTGTCCATCCTACCAAGCTGAAAGAGGTGTGTCCCCCATCTCCACCCCACCCTGGCCTCTCTGTACCCTGAGTCCTCCCATAAGATCACCTCTGATCATTCCCAGTTGGCATCCACTTTGTACCCCCTCCTCTGCCCTCCTGGCCCACAGAAGCTTCTTCCTTACTTTGCAAAACAGGCATCATGCAAATCTACCCGCTGCTGCTGGCCAGCAAGGTGACCCCTCATCTGCACACAATCCATTCTCAAAGGTCTGAAGAGGCCATGTGGGCACATTCTGGAACAGCCTGTACCCTCCATTTCAGTTAGTAGATCGGGTCCCAACCCTCCCACAGGACGTGCCGCTTGTAGACTGTGAGTTGTGAGGTTGCTGTGGTCTCAGCTGCCCAAGCCTTGCAAGCCCAACAAGACAGAGAGATTAGTGTTTCCTGAGCACCAACTACGTGCCAGGCCACGGCGTCTTATTCATGATGAATAGGCCCTCAGTCTAGGGGTCATCTTGTCCCTGGCTCCTAACCCCGATGAGCATGAGAATCGCCTGCATGCTCTCTAGAAAATTCCCAGGCCCCCTCAGACCCCATGAATCAGAAGCTCTGGGGGGACGGGGGACGGGGAACCCAAGAACGACAGATGGGCCCTCTCTTCATTGTGGGATAGTGGTTGTAAAGGTTAGTTTTATGTCAACTTGGTCAGCCTATAGTGCCCAGTGATTTAGACAAACACCATGAGGGTATTTTGTAGATGTGGTTAACACCTACAACTGGTCTTACGTAAGTAAAGGAGATCACCCTGGATAATGTGGGTGGGCCTCATTGAATCAGTTGAAGGCCTTAAGAGCAAACAGGTTTCTGGAAAAGAAATTTCACCTCAAGACTGCAGCATTAGCTCCTGCCTGACTTCCCAGCCTGCAGGCTACCCCCTACAATGATGTCAGTCATTCTTTTTAAAAAAAAAAAGTTCTCTTTTTTTCCCCCTTAGAGATAGGGTCTTGCTCTGTCACTCAGGTTGAAGTACAGTGGTGCAATCATAGCTCACTGCAGCCTTGAACTCCTGGACTCAGGTGATCCTTTTGCCTCAGCCTTCTGAGTAGCTGGGACAACAGGTGGACACCACCATGTCCCGCTAACTTGTAGAGTGGGGGGTTTCACTGTGTTGCCCAGGTTGGAAAAATTCTTTATATACACACAAACGTGATCAGGTGACTAGGTTGGAGATCCTGAGCTCTTCCAACCCTGTTCAGGTGCCACCCAGTCCTGCTGGGCACACAGGGTCCCTCCCCTGGATAGCCTGGCCCATCACTGGGCTCTCTGACTTTCTTCCCAAGCAGCACTGTGGGTAGCACGCACATATCTAAGGATCATTGTCGGATTTCAGATCCATCAGTACCTTCCCTTGCCCCGTCTACCCACCTCTTTTAACAATGAGGAAACGAAGGCCGCAGCCCTGGCACCCACCCCCACATCACTCTCACCTGTCTCTTGCTACCTCCCCACTTGCTGGCTCTGCCCACTCACACTGTCCTCCTCCTGTTTCTCAAACTCGCCAGGCATCCCCTGGACCCCAGGACCTTGGTAACGCCTGCTCTCTCTGTCCTTCCCAGACAGCTCCCGGGCCTCCTTCCTCAGCCCTTAGGTCTCAGGCTCAGCCATCTCATCAGCAAGTTCTCACTACATAAAATAGCACCTCACCACTCTTGCTTTCTCTCCACCTTACCCTGCCTTGTCTTCCTTTGCTGTACTTTTGTCTCCTGACACATGACAGACATGTCTATTTGTTATCTTCCAGGTCCCACCAGTAGAGGTGAGGGTCAGGAGGGCAGGCACCTGGTCTGCTGTGCTCACTCTCAGTGCCTAGAACAGAGCCTGGCACACAGAGGGGCTCAGTAACTACCTGTAGAATGAATGAATGGGTGACCACAACAGAGCAGGGGCTGAGATTCAGGAGGTGGAATCCCACCCTAGAGCTCCTTCTCCTTCTCCAAGCTCCTCCCAGACTACAGGGCTCAGCACTGAGCCAGATGTGTCTCTCCTTAATCTCTGATTATACTCCCATTTTTCTGCTTGCTTATCTTGCTTTGAGTACATCCCCTGTGCAGCATCCCAGGTCTTGATGCTGGGGAGAGAAGCCCGATTGAGGACATGTGCATGGGTGGGGAGAACAGAGCCATCTTTTTTTTTTTTTTTTTTTT